AAAAGGATTCGGCAGCTCCCGCTCAACATAGGCTCCCGGCAGATGTTGCCAGCACTTGGCCATGAGTAGGTATGCCTGCACGTCCAAGTAAAATCAACAAACCGATGCCAAAGGCTTCACTTGGCACCTCCTCGTCGAAGAGCCGAATCCCCGAAGTCATATCGACAAGTTGGGCTACACAGTGCTTTCGCCAGCAGTGGCCCTATCGACGTGTTTCTGCCTATTGGTACTAGCAACTACGAGTAGTTACCAAGGTGTCGCCTCGATCAGCTGTGGGCCAGTGATCTATGGAAGGATTTTCCTCGCAAAAATATGCTCTGAAGCAGCCAGAAAGGGGACGACAGATGAACTGCTTTTTCCATGCAGCAGGCTCCTCGGTTCGACTGCAGTCAGAGAAGTAAGACGCAAAGCCTCCGATCACTTCGCGTGCAGTTGGGTGTCTGGATACAGCGCCTCACACCGCGCTGACACATCAACACGCAGTGCAGAGTATGCAGAATGAGTGCATCTCAAAGCTTTGACCTGAGGTTTCTCGTAGGTCTTCTTCCCCTGCGGCTTTGGCTTGTCCGAAGGCCTGGCCAGTGCAGGAAGCAAAGCCCCTTCAACGGCTCGCTCTCAGCGAGGCCTCAAGAAGTCACCCTTCTGGACAACTGCCATGGTCCTCACGCATGTATAAGTTCGTGCCAAAGAATGCCAAAGATCTACGCCATCTACAGTATCCAGTCCTGAAGCCCTGTGCTTGCTCCTTCAATGGGATCATGAACCGAGTGTAAGCCTGCAAAGTGTGTCATTGCAGGAGTGTCGGACCTCAAGGCACGACGGCGGCCGGTGCCTTGATGCACTTGGCCATCTGATCTTCCCGGAGCTCCTTCTGCTTTGAGACGATTTTGGGGCAAATGGCCTTGGAGCGAAGATCCGTGATTAATAGCACATGCACAGCGCGCATTTCTGAGAATCGCGCTCTGAACAGCCTTTCGTTTTTGATGCCAATTTCGTGATGAATCTGAACGACGTCAGCTAGAAGCCTGCACGCCCCAGTGACTGTGCATGGCTCTAGGAAAACCTTCGTAGTGATCAAGGGTCGGGCGTGACAGGAATCCGGTCGATCTCGTCGCATATGCGTCTTGATGTGAGCTGGAAAAGGAAGTTGTCACTCTCCTGCATCGCATGCGCCTCCCCCACTCCCCCCCTGCCTGCTCCTCCCCTCCCGCCCCCTCACTCCAAACCTTGTCTTGTGTCTTGCTCTGCGAAAAGGTAAGCCGGATGATGATGTCACGAGGAATGAGTGGTGGCGGGAGCCCCGTTTTCAAGTAACTCTCAACCGAACTCAGCTCTATCACCCAAGTCCAGCTGTGCAATTCGGAGCTCCTGCGTATGAACTGTCTGCCTGTCCACACCACGCTTTTGGATACGTGCCTTCGCAACAGCCTGGCTGACTATGTACACAATACGTGTCACAGGATTGGTTGGCGTGGCTTGCGTTGACGAAAGCTCTGGCTGAGGCCAGTGCCCAAAGCAGATGCACCAGCCCGTCGTAAGACAGCTCTTGTATCCGACGCCCTTTGTCACGCACCAACTCCTGCCGCAAAGTGCAGTAATTGCAGCTACGAGTGCAGTTGAGCCAACTACACCTCGCTTTTACCTCCACGGCCCTACGGCCCTACGGCCTTGACCACGTGCGAGACCACGTGCTTGTTCTTTCGAATCTCTTCGCCGTCTCCACATCTTGCCAGGGACCACAACAACTTGGAGGCTGTGTCTGCGCTCCAGTCGCTCGTGTTCAGCTGGCCTCCCAAGAAGTGCGAGATAGTGCGAGGAGAGGAGAGGAGAGGAGAGGAGAGGTGTGCAAGGTCGCTGAGGCGCCAGCTCATGGAGTTGGCAATTGCTCCTCTCAGTTCTCAGGCACTGCGCTGGCCGAGGCCCTGCTGAGGCGCGCCCTGGGGCCGGTGCCCATGCTCATTGCGGCGTTGCCCCGGGCTTCTTCAGGAAACTTGGCCAAGGCTTCGGCCTCATCGCTGGGATTGACTTCGGGCTGAGTGATGCTGGTTCAGGGTTAGCATGGTTCAAGTATGGGGGTTTTGTTGTCCAGTCTACCTGTTTAACTTTCAGGGTCAAAGAGCGTCGGTTCAGGAAGATGTGCATTGAAGGTATTTGAAAGCTGCATGCAGTGACCAAGCCAGCCTGGCAAAAAGCTCGGAAAGCTCGGAGCACTGCTGCTCGCGAGAGGTCCCGGAGATCCAGCGCGGGCGGCGGCTGGCTTAGGAGCTCCTCAAGCTGAGAGCAAAGAGCAGAGTTCGAACATGTTCGAACTTCTCTGAAGACGCGCTAACTCTAATAGAACCGGAGAGACGACCTAAGAGCAGCGGTAGGAGCATCCAATCACAGGGGCAGCAACAGCAGCCTCAACCGGCAGCGAGCAGTAGCACATAGTAGCACTAGTCTCTCGCGAGCTGCAAGCTACTAAGAGTCTTGGATGTTGCGCAGCTTCGAGGTCACCAGACACAGGATTTCACAACATGACAGCATGCAAATTTGTGCAGTTGCAACTTGAGCTCAGTGCCTGGATTTTCTTGCACAGAGCTTTGACCTCGCATGTGAGCGAATGAGAAACTCATCAGTTCTTCAGGGGTCGATTGCTGACCGAAGCCGTCACCGACTGCATGGCTGCATGGATTTGGTGACTAGGCCCCAACATGAGGCTGTCTGAAAAGATCCTCTCTCAATTTGAACGAGCTCTTCGTTGCCATGGTGCAAAGGGCCTGTGCGAACGCTGTGTTCTCGATCCTCCCACAAGAGGCGGCTTGAGTGACAGTGCCTCAATCGCGACGAGGGATGTGAAGTTTTGGCCCTTCTCCTGCTTCAGCAGCCGGGTACCGTGTTCTGAATATCTGCCGACTGGACAGTCAGCCAAAACTCCTTGACGTGAGCTGCGCACCGGACAGCAGAGAGGGACGACACCTGTTGCTGCAGAGCTTTGCAGTGTGCATGTACTGCGCTGTGCGCAGCTGCAGCAGATGTTAGCTAACACAAGCACTGCAAGAGCAACCCAAAGGACCTGGTGCAAAACGGCATCCTGTTCAGTATCCTCTTCAGGGCTCAGCCTTACTCCAACAGCTGGTCGGGACCCTATCGGAGGCAGGAGACTCTTCCAAAACTGAGAAATCCACTGTGGTATTGTCGCTGCCTCGAGCAGAAGACCGCACTTCACACACATCATCTCACTCTGACAAGAAGCAGCATCACATGCGCAGCCTGCTGGGCTGCGGCTTGCCACTGCGCAAAGTAAGCTTTTGGATCCAGCATGGCAGCGCCTTCAGAATACAAGAGCGTGGCTCGGTTCCGTGGCAGTACACTGCTATTCAAAACGTGGTTTCCTGGTGAACACATGAGACCGGTGTCTGAAAGTCATGTAGGAAGCATGCGACACGCTGACGCACACAGACAGCAAGAGACAAGGGAGATGAAGACCCGCTAAATTCGTACACTGGAGATCACTGCAGGAAAGGCAATTGTGATATGACATCCGACCAGATCTCACTGTTTTCGGAGAAGACGACATCAAGGCCGCGCACTGTGGTCTGCAGAAAAACGCAGGCGTTTGAATCTGATGAGGCATTCGCTTCCAGCTGAAAGCGGGGCGTATCGCACCCCAACTCCTGTATGTATCCGTCATTTCCGGTGAAGCTTCAACGCCAACACATGACAGACTGTCCCTCATTAGCATGCCATCAGACAAAGGCCAGAAAAGCATCACCTAAGGCTCAAGGAATCACCGTCGGCCTGTCGGTTGAAATACACCTGGAAGAGCAGGGCTCGAAGTGCACTCGGATCTCACTCTTCGAAAGAGAAACTTCATCTGCATGTGTTTCGCTGGGAACGCCCCACCTGTTCCAAAGGCGTCTTCCGCACTTCGCTTCATGGCGCTTCACGGCACGACGTTTCAACTCGTAGCAATAGCTCAATATCGCCACAGCTGTGCACAATGTCGGCTCAGGGGGCATCCGTGACAAGTATATTCTGAGACTCTCAGACGCACACCTAATTCGATACTCAAGCATTAGGAGCAGCACCGTCCCAAGAGGCAACGCAAGGCAGAGATCCCGTCCAGACTGTGTGGAAATGACACGACCCATCATGCTGAAACAAGCGAAAACAGATTGAAGATCGCAATCTCAGTCTCCTTTGCTGATGCAAACATCTGGGGGCAACTTTGCCGTCAGGTCTTGGGGGTGAGACACATCGTAGCCGTAGCCAGCCTCGGTAGGAACACTCATCACACTGACGCCAAAAGGTCAAGCAACGTGTTTTGGCCTTTATCCATGCGCGTGATGTTCAGTCTGCGGCGCATGCTGGGGATTGAAATGACTGTGCTGTGTGCAGTTGCTCGGTGTTCCGAATCGCTGACTTGCGATTCGCATATTATCTCAATTTCAGAAGCGGGTGCTCTTGCTCAGTGCCGCAAGCACAAAATTCGGTTGCATCGACACACCAGAATATGCAACATCTGAAGACAGCGGCAATGTGTCGAGGCTGTTAAGCTGCGAAGCTGGTGCATTAACAAACAAAAAAGTCGACGAACTCGTGTCCAGTTCGCGCCAGACACACGTAACCATCAATTAGCATGGACATTGTCGGTCGCTTGCCTTCGCTAGGAGAGGTCCCAGAATTTGTAGATGATTCAAGCACAGTGAAACTGTTGGATCCCATGTCGGTCGTTTGGAGCTTGAGACGAGGTTTATCATCTCTCGGCTTGAAAGGCCGCTGTTGCTTGCCGCACCGATCAGTCACTTACTTGAATTGACGAAAACACACAGGATCAAGGTAGCTCAAGGTCGCATACAAAAAGCAGCAAACCCTTCCCGTATTCTCGCTTTCCTGATCGTGGGCATTGTTTGTCTGCAGAAGTGCTGCTGAACCTTGCTGAAACTGCATGCAAGTTGCTGCTGTACCGTGGGGTTGTGCCAGAGCAAGCTCCGAAAGCTGAAGCTCTCTTCGAAATGTCAGCGCAAGGACCTGAGGGCAGGACAAAGCATGACAAGCTGCACTACGTGGAGCTTTGAAAACTTAGCAAACGGCGCGGGGGCAGCCGTGGAGGAGTCCCCTTCATTCCACGGCTCTTCTGCTCGCAGCATCTTCCTCAATTTGAGCAGTTCTGACCCCAACAAACCAATGTGAAGGAGCTAAGCGTCGCTGCGCTAATTGTGCTGAACGGTGCTTAGAAGCAGCTGCGCGCCTGAACTCCTGAGGATCTAGATATCCATCACCGTTGAGGTCAAACTCCTTGACCTCGACGACTCAATAGGACGGAACAGAACTTGCGCCTTGTTTCGTACAAACGTGAACAAACACCCTTGTAGATGTTGCCGAGAGCTTCCGAAAACGATGGGTCAATCCTAGTGTCGGACCATGTCCGTGAAGCGCCTGATATTGTTGTCCTTCCCAGAAGAAGCAAGGAAAAAGCAAGATGCTGGCAACGCCGGAGGCAGGTTCCTTCTTGTGCAACGAGGTGCTCAGGACTTTCTGTAGATCATCTGGGCCGATTAGTCCTGCATGCAAACAATCCGTGCCCTATCTTTGCATACAAGTTTGACATCTTCTCGTTCGAACTGAGGTTTTGCCAGCCTCGGCCCGTGATGTCAAGCTGCCCAAACATCTGGCAAAGACTCCGACTCAACGAGATAACACCAAGCTGCCCAAGCTCGTGTGCACCCTCCGTAATCACAAGTCACCGCGCAGTAGGACATCAACTTGCAGCAGCGACCTCCATGGCACGAGACTCTTCGCAATACCTGCGATTGCGGCCACTGTGAAGAGAACTTCGCCAAGTTTAGGCTTTGATTTGCGGCTTCAGGTGCAGGTGCAGCTGAAGTGCCCTACTGCCTTGCAGCCACGCAGATCCAGTTTCTCTCAGACTTGGCAATGGACCTGCACTGGTCTCTGCAGGAGAAGCCGATGTGCCTTTGCAAAAGACTTCTCGAAAATGAGATCGTAACAAAGCTAGCGCTTGCCCTCTGCAGCATTAGCTTGATGCCTCTTTTGTGAGGTGCCTCTGTCTAGAGGCCAATGGCGAGCCTACGCCGTGCAAAGGCAGACTGCTTTTCAGGAATCGTGGACTCTGACGGCTCCAGCCACGAGACTGGATGCGTGTATGTCACTGTATGTGTACGTGCAGATTGTCAGGGACGAGATGTCAAAGTTGATCCAAAAGTTGTGGTTGGTGGCATCAGCTCTCCGTTGACACTATAAAGATGCGGCTTCATGCGTAAGTTTCAGAGCTATATAAGTGTTCTCACGCTCGTCTGCATTATGCAAGTTCTTGTAGGCATTCCTGCAAAGAGAAGCCCGCCGAAGACTGGACTAGTTGCGGGCCGGCTCTTTGCAGCCCGTCTTCAAACCATTCCGCATACTCGGAGACTCGAAAGTAAGGCTGCATTCGCGCAGCTTAGGTTTTGCCAATGAATTCAGACTCTACAGCGGTCGCTCACGCTTTTCGGAGCTGCCTCTCGGAATCTAAGGCACGGCACTCTGGGTGCAAAAGCTGACTCTGCAGTGAAATCACCACTGGTGCAGCTTTCTTGTCAAGCACAGAATGCAGTGGGCCTGGCAAGCCTGGAAGACTCGTGTCAATTCTGTCCACACTGTCGTTTGGCATGCCTTGGCCACCTTGGTTCATTATCATCACGGCACTGTACAGGCACCGTTGCAGCATATTGGAAATTCCGGGAACATGCCTGGCTAGCAAATCCAGTCGTGCTTATGCTTCTGCGGGCATAGACGTAACGGAGGGATGCGATGGACAATCTGAGACGGTGCGTGCCTGGTGTCTCTCCACCAGGGGAATCAGCCCACAAGCTTGACGAAAATGGCGCCTCATTTTCCTTCCAAGCCAGAGTGGCCGTCTTCTCTTCGTCAAGCGGTACCTGTGACACCTGCGTTCGTGCCTCCGAGACAGCCGGCACATTGAAGAGGTTATCGATTTCCTCGGCTTGTTTGCAGTAGATTCTCAGTAGATTTGACGGAGACCACTGCACTTCAGGGCAGCCTCTGCGTTTTCTTGGAAAGAGTTGATCATCTCCAGAAGCCGCACTCGCTGGTCAAGGAGGATGACGTCTGCATCCTGAGTCAGGCAATACGTCCGGGAACAGTCCATTTCTCAAAAGACACATGCAGAACTGGGCCTTGTAGTTCGTGGGAGTTGTGTCACGCATCGCTAGCAAGAACCTGATTCATCAGGATGCAAACCTAAGCCTAATGGCCTAAATGCGCCCAGATTCTTGGAATGCTTCCGGGCCTTAATTGGTGATCCAGCAGTCCTCTCTGCTTCTGCACAACTTGTCGGTAGAGATTTAGATCCTGGCAAATGTGGCCATTCGAAGGATATGATGACAGTGTGAGAACAACGTCGTGGAGTGGTGGGTCTCTGTGAACGGAGGTGCAAGGTAATCTCAGGTGGTGGTGTCACAGATCTATCTTGTCTTGACACCGGAGAGATGCTTCTTCCAGCACCGACTAGTCCAGAGTGACTAGAGGACCCTCCACGGCTGAAGGGCAGACTGTGGGAAAAATGAGACCTCACATACCTCACACTGTGAGATCAAATGGACATTAAACGCCGGCTGCAAGCGTGGACGCTGCAAGGACGAATCGGAGTCAGGCAAAGAAGTACTGAAAAGACACAGCACCGGGAAAACAGCCTCGACAATCCTCGACATTAGTCCGGATGAACCGTAGTGAGCAAAAGCCCAAATCGTCGAGTCGGAGTACCCATGGTACCTAGAGCTCATCACAGAATTGGGCTACATCGAACAACCTTGATTCTCGCAAGACCCGCTCCATACCCTCGACTTGAAGCCGCTGCGCACAGCCTCTTCAACCTTGCGGAGGATGTGTAGCATGCGCCTGGCAGCTGCAACACAAGATAATTTGCGATCTTTGTCGCTGTACCAAGCCTCTTGTCACCCTGTGGATCGTCATCGTATTCGTCCTGGACACATCTGATGTCTGATGATGTCTGAGACGGACAGCTGACAAACAGAGAGAGAGAGAGAGAGAGAGAGTACATGCACTGCTAAACAGGGCTGTTGATTGGGCCTGATTTCTTCTGTGCCCGCACTTGCGGCAGTAGACACTGTCTGGTAGTAGCGGAAAGTGGCCACAGTTGGAACAAGCCTTACACCGGGTTGCCATTAACGTGTGCCCAACATGAGCAGTGCAACTGCCAGGCTTCCAGCCTCAGTCAGGGCTGCCGCGTCCGTCAGGGCTGGCATGGGCTGCGCATCTTGCAGCGAACTTTTTTCCTGCTCCTGTAACTTGTCCTGCATGCGACTATCCAACTGGAAGGAGGCACCGAACTGCTTATGACAAATTGTTCACGCTTGCTTACGACAGGTTTTTCAAGCATAATCATGCTTGCGACAGGGCTGTTTCAAGGATAATCATGCTCATGCAGGGTATTTTCAATGATAATCATGCCTACGACGGGTCAAGGATAATCATGCTTATGACGGGTTTTTCCAGGCATAATCATGCTTCCGCAGGGTTTTTTCAAGGGTAATTGACGGCTTTTTTAAGGATAATCATGCTTACGACAGGTTTTTTTCGAGGATAATCATGCTTACGCGAACTGCTCTGCACCCGCATAACTGTGACGCTTCCCGGCCTGGTGTTGGTCCATAACTTCGATTATTTCGCGCTGAAGCTCTTCCAGCTTCTGCTGCATTTTCTCCACCGCATCCTCGGAGTCTTGGCCAGGCTCTCAGTGCTTATGCTGCGAACTATTCACGCAAAGGCATGATCAAGCACAGCTCGTGGTACATGAACAACTAGTTTTGAACATATACATATATGCATGTATGCACATATACAAAGTGTACATTTCGGCATACATACACCTCTACACATACGCACATCAAAATATAGGCATGCATACATACATACATACATACATACATACATACAAACCTACATACATGCACGGATACATACATACATACATCCATGCATGCATACATGCTTACATAGGTACATACACAAACACATACATACGTACGTACGAACATATGTACATACGTACATACGTACATGAATACACATGCATACACATATGCATATGCATATACATATACATATACATATACATATACATATACATAATCATATACATATACATACACATACATACATACATACATACATGCATACATGCATACATGCATACATGCATACATACATACACACATACGGACGTACACACATACATACATACATACATACATACATACATACATACATACATCCATGATACATACATACATACATACACATACGGACATACATACATACATAAATACATACATACATACATACATACATACATACATACGTATATACATACCTACCCCTATATTACCTATATACATACATATACATGTATATATAGATATATAGATATAGATATAGATATATATATATATGTATATATATATATATACGTGTGCCCCATATACATAGACAGAAAAGACGTAGGCTGGTGCATAGCTACATAGATACAACTACATCGCCAGTGCATTTTGCGTGGCCTGGCTAGCGGAGGAATGAATCCACGGGAATGAAATTACTAGTATTTTGTTCCCGACAGATGACCGGGTGGGGGAGTCTAGGGGGAAAGGGGTTCGCAAGGTGTTGACGCAGAAAGCGGGAATGCGACGAACTTCGGTCCGACACTTACACAGTCAGTTTTACACATACATACATCGATACATATACATAGACACATACATATACACAAAGATATATATATATGTGTGTAGATGTTTACACACATGTGAGCATATATACATGTGTACATAAATACATGTACACAACCGTACATTATTACGTATGTATAACTATGAACATGTATTGAATACATACATATCTGTTCACACTCATATACATATACACGTAAATAAATATATATATATATGTACATATCTATATATATGTATATGCAGCTATGTACATATATATATATACATACGCCGATATACGTTTTATATGCATGAATATTGCATCATATCTGCGGGACAGGAAGGATTACTTTCAGATCGATTACGGATTCACTCCGATTTCGCGATTCATGTTGGATTCACTTCATGATTTACAACTGGATTGGAGTTTCCGCCTTCTCAGCTCAACCCTGCAGGTAACTGCGGAGCTTCCTCTGCCTCGGGACGGCTCGCGAGCACGTGGGCAGTGGTCTGGGCTGGGCTGGGTGACAGCTCTGGGATGCCATGGGGTCTACATTGCTGCGGGACCACCAAAAACGAGTGAGTTAAACGTGAATCGAAAAGTGAAGACATGAATCGAAAAGTTAATATATCCACAAGGTTTTCCGTAAAACACGCCTGACCACATTCCCTCGAGACATCCCGACTCGGTTTTCAATTCACATCGCGATGGCCTGGGCCGGGTGGGTTGGTGTGGAGAGGTGGTGAGGGTTTCTGCGGTGTGTTTGGGGTGTGCAATATAACAACAGAACAGATACACGTGAATCAAAGACTGAATCGAAACGGAAAGTGGAATCCGAAAGTGCATGAGAACTGAATCAACAGGTAACAGATCGAGTCAAAAGCGAATCCGCAAAGAATCGGCAAATATCTTGATCATGCCCGATAAGCCACCCTCTGCTGTCTTGACGTATATATATCTATATACATACACACACACATATATATATAGACATAGATATAGGTATAGAT